AAATAACATAAGATTACCCTTCACTACATAACTGCAAATAGGAAACTAATTCATTAAATTTAATTGTTTTTCACTAATGGAGATAACTTTCTGGTATTTAGCCATTAGTATATATATATATATATATATATGCACACACACACATATATGTGTGTGTATGTATGTATGTATAGATATAGATGTATTTATGTATATGTATATGTATATACACACACACATACACATACATGTGTATGGCAGCTAGGTGGCACAGTGGACAGAGTGCCTGGCATGGAGGTAAGAAGACTCTTCTTCCAGAGTTCAAATCCTGCTTCAGACACTTACTAATTGTGTGATCCTGGGCAAGTCACTTAACCCTGTCTGCCTCAGTTTCCTCACCTATAAAACGAGCTGGAGAAGGAAATAGCAAACCACTCCAGTATCTCTGCCAAGAAAACCCCAAATGGGGTCATGAAGAATTGGATAGGACTGAACAACTACCATGATACACACAAATGTGATCAATACCTACATTTGCCTGGACTTAGGATTTCATTGGTAGAGGGAATGCCTGGTGAGCAAAATCCCTCTACCGATGCAGATTGTCAATTATCCTACAACTTATAGTCTTAAAAAATTGCTTAAGGAGTTGAGAGGTCAAATGACTTGTCCAGGGTCACAGGGCCACTATGTGTAAGAGGCAGCATTTGAACTGAGGGCTTCCTACTATAAAGCTAGCTCTTCATCCGCAGCATCACAATGCCTCATAAGACATACATACATATATGTGGATATATGTGTACACATATATATGTATATGCATTTGTAGGCATGTATGTAAATATACAGAGAACACATATAGAAGAATGGAGGGACCGATGCTTCTTAGCCCAATGTGTATTTTTATACACAAATCTCCAGCTTTCTCTCTCTCTCTCTCTATAGTTATACAAAGACACACACACACATATTGAGGAGGGCAGCCGTTGTCCTCTATTCCTCTACGTCCATTACAAACTACCATGATGGAAAGTACAAGAAGCCATGGATTTCCTCTGTACTTTTCCCTGCCTGTTTTTTGCTAGTTTTATATCAAACCCACGTTTTACCATCAAAGCAAAAAAAAAAAAAACAAACAAACCATTTCCCCTACAGCCAGTCTTCCATGTTGGTGGAATATTAGTTCATATTTATTTAGTGTCTTCTGGATACACAATTCTTTCTGTCCATGGCCTCATCTGAAGCAGGAAAAGCAAGTGTTTTTATCCCCATTTTACAGAAGAGTAAACTAAGGCTACAAAACAAAATTATTATGAGAGATGTTGGCTACACCACCCCAAAATTCTAGGATCCCATTGGATGATGGATGCCATGCACTCACTTGGCTTCAAACTTAGTCCTTATCAAGATGGGGAAAAGGCCACTGAGGTATAGTAATCCTTAATCAGACACTAAAACCTCAATGTGAATGGGTTGCTTAGATTCTTTTCCCAAGATCAAGCTTTTGTAAGAGAGAAAAGAGAGAGAGTGAGGACATTAGGCACCTGGTATAATGGAGGATGGACCCCAGAGAGGTAGAAAAGGCAGAAAAAGACGCAGAAAAAAAGGGTTTGGCTGCAGCTGGTCCTGATCTTACTAGAAAACTGGCAAACGATATTACTGATGGATACCTATAGGTATTCAAATTGTGACAATACAGTTAGGGGAGAGAAGCAAAGCTGATGGAGTGTGAAGGAGCAAGTTGGTGAGGAGAGTGGGAAAAGCAGCCCAACACCTTCTGCAGAGTCATCATCGAATGTTCTGTTTTTCTAAAAAAAAAAAAAACAAACCAACCCCTTTTTATTTTACTAGTTATACTTTAAACACTAAAACTAGCATAGCTTTTGATAATCTGTTGATGGGGGAGGGGGTTAAGATCACTCCCTGACAGCAGTGGAATATCATTGGAATCAGGAAAGCCTGATTTCAAATTCTGCCTCAGACATTTGTAAGGTAGCTGTGTCACCTAGGGCAAGTGGCTTAATCTCTCTCAACCTCAGTTTCCCCACCTGAAAAATGGGAATTCTAAGAGAATCTACCTTACGGGGAGATTGTAAGGATCCACTCAAATGACATAACACGAACAGTTAGGTCTTGATTAGTGCAAATAATGAATGCCCTGAAGCAGTCTCATGTAGTCCAATTTATACAAAGTTATAGTTATATAAAATAAGGAATTGGTTCCAACCCAATGGAAACATGCGGTGCAAATTCAAATAAAGTAACTAGTTAGGAGACTTGTTATTTGCACTAATCAGGACCTAGCTGCCGTACTTCATAAATCTTAAAGTGGCCGTATAAACTCTAGCTATTGTTATTATTGTTGTTGTTGTAGAGAGCAAATGAGATAATTAATATATGTAAAGCTCTTTACATACCTTAAAGGGCTACCTAAATTACTCTTATAGCTTAGCACAAATAGAGGGCATCATTCTAGAATGCCTTCTGTCTGCATAAAGGCATACCCACATCTAGGCTCCTTGTCGTCGTTAGATGCAGAGAACCTCACCTCAATTCAAGTACACTGGAAAAATCTTACTTTAATCTGCTGCCTACAATGTACCAAGGTGAAAAATCGTGGCAACATGTCATAAACCAGTATGCAAATGATGCTCTTTGTAAATATTAACATAATTTAGTGCTTACAGTCATATTCTCATTTCTAATAGTTCTCCCCAAATGGAGTCTTTTCTCTGGACTGCTAGCCTGCAGGAGAGTCTTTCATCAGGAAGCTGAAATGTTTAATAACCTGCCAGCATATGTTTGGGATGTGCCGGGCTAGGCCTGATGACACGATGTCTTCATTATCAGAAGAAACAAGTCTCTGTCCTGTAATAGGACATTAAAACATGCCTGTGCTCATAAACTAATGCTTTGATGTCTAACCATGTAGCACTCTGACAGTGTGCAGTAACAAAAGGATGATTTTAATCCTGTGCTCTCTCAATGGCAAAACTCAATGGGGATTGAAGTTCATTACGGGAAAAGGTCTCTACTCTCAAAAGGGGCTCTAACTTTGAAGGCATTAAAAATGTCAACTATCATTTGCAAAAAGGTTCTTAGAACTGTTTGATTTTTTTTTGTCCTTTTACCACAGAGTGTTTAAGAGCTGGCTTAAATTTATGAAAAGTTTACTGAATCAATTTTTTCTTCTGATAAGCTCTTAAAAATGATTTGGCTAGGCTATGCATTATTCATTGGGCTCAGAATCCAATCAGCATTTATTTCCAATCATTCCAAATATGTGTGTTGCTATTGCTCAAAACCATAACTCACAACAACTAAAATTCAGCTGAATTTTAACTAATATAATTTACAACCAGAAGCATAATTTAATCTATGTACAACTTATCCCAATTTAGGTGTTTTCTAATACTCTATATTAGAAGTCACACCACAAATTTATCACAGCGGCATGAAATCCTTAAATATTAGACATGCCCTTAAATGGTTTAGGGCATAAAATATTTAGATCAGCAAGCATTATGCACATTAAAAAATCTCAATTTTTTAAAACACAAAATAATCATACTGATGATTTAGGTTCAACAATTTCACTTTAAGAAACAAAACCCTATAAAAGATAATATATGATCTAGACCCAAGAATACATGGGAAACCTCTATGGGCCTCAACATTAAATACATTTTCCTTGTATTATTTTTTTCCGCAGAAGAGTAATTCACTTTGGTATCCTCTAAATAATATGTAAAAAGCTTTCAGTGACAGGTAGTGCATTCAGTCCATTTTGCTGATAAAGGAAAAAAACAACAACAACAAAGAATAGATCATGGGGAGAATAGGAACATTTGTCAAAGTGAATTCTCTTTTTCTTCTGACTGTTCTCTAGATATATTTATCATTTCTCTTTAACGTGAGAAATATTGTGCTCTCCAGCATGCCCCTCTCTGTGCATCATTTGTGCCTTGATTCATTTCTACCTCTTGAGTAGGGATGCTCAGAGCAGATGCAGATCCAAGTTTACAGCCAAACGCGAGAAAAATAAGCAAGAAAGCAGTCAGGAACTGCGTGTCTATATTTTCCTGCCAGCTCTACCTTATCTGTAGATCCAGTTGTGTGGGCCAATAAAAAAGTACAGGAATTGGAAGAGGCTTAGAGAAACTTTGCTACTAGTCACAGCTCAAAGTTTTATGGCACTTTCCTCTTAACAACCCTGAATGATAGGTAGCATACATATTCCTGTTTTGCAGATGAGAAAATTGAGGCTCAGGTGACTTGCCCATAGTCACATAGCTACTAAGTGCCAGAAGCAGGATTTGAACCAAGTTATACTGGTTTCACATTCAGTACTCTTTCAATTCCATTATGTTGCCTAGTAAGTGCAATTGTAGATGGGTGAACTTGACTTAGGTGTTTTCTGATCTCCTAGTGTGGTCAGCAAACTACTAGCCATCGTTAAGATGAGTTTGGAATTCATTGGATAGACTTCTTCCTTCTTTCCCTTAGGTAACATGCAAGGGAAAAAAATCCATGGATTCCAAGTCATTTGTTTAGAGTTTTCTGAAGCACTCTAGGAGACAGAAGTCACTTAAATCTGCTTTGACTATCTTTAATAACTTGTGATTTTTGCTAGTGCTGTCATACTTTGGCTTCTAAATGGCAACTAACCATTCAGAGATGTACTCTCATAAGAAAATATAGCTAACCCAATCATACATATTGCTAAGATCACATGACAAAAACATAGTTACATTTGAAGTCTGTGACTGTTTTCAACTGAATATGGTAAAATAGTAATTTGTAAATGACTCCAGCCAATCTGAAGACATGGCATAGAATTTTGGGGCAGGAAAAGACCTTCAAAATCATCTGGTCCACCTTCCTCATTTTACAGAGAAGGAAGGGGAGGTTGAGGGAAGTGAAATTACTTGCCCACAGTCACACAAGCAACTGGAGACGGAGACAGAGCCAGAACCCAGGCTTATTGTCTCCCCATCTAGTATAACTTAATGAAAACTTACATGTGCCCATTTCTTATTCCAATCTCTGACACCACATTTGTGATATTCCTGTATGACCCAATTATAGCATTGTAGATGGGAAAGAATGTCACAAAATGCAGTCCCATTGCCTCCAAATTCGTTGTCCACTTTAAATATCCAGCGTTGCACATTCAGATTATCAACAATGAGTTGACTTAAGCATTCCACCATCTGTGGATGGAAAATGACTTTTTAAAAACTTTGTATTGCTATAGCACTTTAAAGTTAACATCACATTTTTCCCCTTTAAACCCATGAGGTAGGCAATTCCAGTGTTATTAACGTTCCCTTGTGGGGATATTGCAGATGAGGAAACTGAGGCTTAGAGAGGGTAAAATGATTTGACTTTGGTCACACAACTTGGAGATATCAGAAACAGGGCTCAAATCCAGGTGTCCTGAGAGGAATTCCTTTCCGCTTCAAAATGATGCCTCTCTCCCTGGATCCAATGTTATTAGCCCCTCTCCTGCTTGCCCCTCACCCCCAAAGTCTGCTTCTCAGGTAATTCATCAATATATTTACTTATTTAATTTATAAGGTATCTTCACAAAAAGGTGCAGTAGGAAGAGTTCTCAACTTGGTAGTGATAAAATCTGAGTCACATGATCCATTATTGATTTTTCACTTACTAGCAATGTGAGCTTGGGCCAAGTTTCTTCATTTATAAAATGAGGAGATTGAATAGATGATATCTAAGATGCCTTCCAGATCTAAATCTACGATACTCTAGATGGTATTTTTATTAAGTTTTTCTTTTACCTGTTTAGACTTATTCACATACCAAAGTCTGGTTCTGATACTATATTATGGCATGGAGTGCAACATGTAGCCTTGAAGGTTACACCAGGGGAGCGTTTGAGTTGGCCTTACTGGGTGGAGAGACTTAGACTCTGGTCCCAGCAATGGACTATCTGCTCGTCATCTGAGGACTAGCTTTGCTACGTTCAGAGAGTTTCATTACCAGATGGCTCAGAAACGAATGACCTTTTTTGAGCACTAGCATCTCTTCAACTCTATTGACTGAGTCATGTAGGGGTTGCATTCTGCATCACTGTGCAGGGTAGCCTGATTAAATTATAGCTCCCTAGGAGAAGTTTTAAGGAAGATATAGGATGTAAAGAAATAATTTTTAAAAATGAACAATCTTGGGCCTGAACCAATTTTGAAAGTGTATTCTTGGTTCCTGCAACAATAAGTTCTGTCAGTTGGGCTCAAATGTGTGTAATTGAATCTGAGTGCTTTTATTTGTCCTTTGGAGAATTATGTGTTTATTTATTGATTGGCCATATGGTATTATTTTTTTGGTACTAAAACATTAAGTGTTTCTTCAAAACTTTAGCTGTTTGGGGCTTTGTTGAGCTTTTTAATGTTTTAATCTATTTTATATATATATATATATATATATATATATTTTTTTTCCTCCTTGATATACTTGGCAGAATCTCATTCAGTAGGCCAGGAGGTAATTTATGACCACATAGGTCACATGATCAAGACAGGTAATAGTAATACAGCATCTATGGATGTGTCTTCCTTCTTAGGAGAATTAATGCACTTGGTCCTATTCCACACACCAATATTACATTTAGATAATCAATCATGAAGCATTTGTTAATTGTCTATCATGCACCAGGCAGTATGTTGGGTTCTATGAATACAAAGATAAACATAAAATGTTCCCTGCCTTGAAGGATAATTTTTTTTCTGTAACAAATATTTATTTTTCTTTCTCTCCCACATCCCATCTTCCCCCAAACATCAAGAAAGAAAAAAAGAAAAACAAAACCTTTATAACACACATGCATAGTCAAGCAAATTTTTTTGGCCAGATCCAAATTTTGGCCATATCCAAAAAAGTATATGTTATTCTACATATTGAGTTCATCTCTGTAAAGATGTGGGTAGTATTCCTTATTACTCGTCCTCTGGAATCACGGTTGATACTTGTGTTGATCAAAGATCTTAATTCTTTAATTATAGCTAGAGGTACAAGGATAGTTCCTACAAGATTAGAAGTGAGCTCAATCAATTGAAAATTCGAATGATGAGAGGGAAGTCATCAAGATTCACAGAAATGTTCATCTCCATATGGAAAGGGGGAGGAGAGAGAGGAGAAAGAAAGGGAAAAAGAGTAAAGGACAAGTAGTCAGTCTTATAATCAATAAACCATTTCTGCTGAGCTTGTACCAACCATGTCTATAAAAATTGCTGAATCTTGAGCAATACTGTGGTAACTGTCTTGGATATATCTACTTTGAGGGCCTATAACTTCACTAATGCAGATCACAATCCCTTTACAACTTGGTAAATGGTCTTTAAGAATGTCAGTGGCTGGAAAATTTCTCATCTTGTGGCCAACCTGGTGATGAGTCTTTCTCTTTTGATATGGTTTTTCCATTTCTACTTTCCTCCCCCTACCCTATAATTAGTTTTATATTAAGGAATGTGAAAAGCCCTCTTCAGCTTAGCTGACTCTTCAGTCCCCCAACACACACACACACACACACACACACACACACACACACAAATATCTTTCATTATATAGTTATGCTGAAGTCCATAGTCATACGTGAACATGCCTTGAAACTGAAGGAGCACAGACACCCAGGCCCCCACCGTGGAACGAGAAGGCAGGGACAGGAGCAATCAAAAGCAGCATGGAGCTGGTGACACTCCATGAGCAACTTCTGCCCTTATGTCTGTGAATTTCCTTGTATACTAACTGAACTTGGCTTTTTTGATGACGCTGATGGAGGTTTGTCTTCTTCCTTCCTCTTTGCTGAGAACTCTATTCTGACTTTGATTCTCACTTTGTCCTTTCCTCCCTGGACTTCCTTGGGTACCATGTTTATAACTCCTCCTTGAATGACTGTTGGTCAGAGACAATATTATTAAAATTATTCTGACCCACATGTACAAAAATATTTCTAGCAGCTCTTTTTGTGGTGGCAAAGAATTAGGAATTGAGAGGATGTCCAGCAATTGGGGAATGGCTGAACAAGTTGTGGTATATGAATGTAATGGAATACTATTGTGCTGTAAGAAATGATGAGCAGGTGGACTTCAGAAAAACCTGGAAAGACTTGTATGGTCTGATGCTGAGGGAAGTGAGCAGAACCAGGAGAACGTTGTATACAGTAACAGCCACATTGTGCAATGACGAATATTGATAGACTTAACCCTTCTCAGCAATGCAAGGATCTAAGACATCTCCAAAGGCATCATGATGGAAAATGCTATCCACATCCAAAGAAAGAACTATGGAGTTTGGATTAGACTATTTTTTTTTTGGTAAGGCAATGGGGTAAAGTGATTTGCCCAAGGTCACACAGCTAGTAAGTGTCAAGTGTCTGAGGCTAGATTTGAACTCAGGTCTTGCTGAATCCAGGGCTGGTGTTCTATCTACTGCATCATCTAGCTGCCCCAGAACTATGGAGTTTGAATGCAGATCGAATCATACTATTTGCTATTTTTTTTCTTCTGTTGTGTTTTGTTTCCTTTTTCTGGTGGTTCCTCCTATTGGTTCTAATTCTTTCTTACAACATCATAATGTGAAAATATGTTTAATAGGAATGTATATGTATAGCTATATCAGATCGTGCATTGTCTTGTGGAGGGAGGTGAGGAGGGAGGGAGAGAAAAATTTTAAACTCAAAAGCTTATGGAAGTGATTGTTGATAAATCAAAATAAATTAATAAAAAAAATTATTCTGAGGAAGAGTGAAATTGTTCTAAGCAAGAATGAAAGTTGTTTTCTTGGGCTGGTCTGCCCAGTAAAGCTTCTTCAATTTGTCATACTGTAAACCAAAACATGGAGGTGATGCCCCAGTGGCCTTCCTGGGGTTCCCTGCTGTCCTGGTAGCCACCATGTATTTCTGGTGCATTTAAAGAAGATCCAAACAGAATTCCCTCGTCATCCATATAGTCACTATCTAAATAGGTTTGTGGCTAATGTGGGTATTTAAAGAATAAAATTGCACATTGTATGGTCATAAGCATAGCATAGGTAGCCTTATGAATGTTCCTTCCCAAAATGCTTCTGTCTCTACTCTGTGGTTATAATGTTACTAAAGACATTCTATATTCAATTGTATTTTGAGGCAATCTAATCAGATTCTTAGACGCAGAATGGGCCTTTACTCTGTTAAAAATCTGATGAAAATTCTTGTTTCATTGTTGAGGAAGGTAATCTGACATAGCCATCTTTTAAAGTGTATAGTTGGGGGCTTCGACCACACACAGAATTATTATGTGTTTGCTCCAAATCCTATTATTTGTTGCTTCTGAGAATCCTATAAATGGGTTTCTGTTGATGACTCCCCTACAGTAATGAAAAGGATCAATAGTATTGTAAAGACTACACCACTGGAAAGAATTATGTGCTATCTTTAAGTGAAAATTGAACAGTGCTTTAAAATAGCATTGCCATTTTTGATTATTTAACCAAAGCTGTCAATATTTCATACAGAGCACATGCCAGAAAAAGAACTTTCATCGTTGTTTCAAGGATCAAAAGAGGAAATGCTATGCCACTGTGTCTGTGTTATATGGCTTTTTATAAATAAATTAGTTAATCATAAACCAAATGACTTTGTGCTCTTTTCAAACATCTATCATCTGTTGTTTGATTCTTTCTGCTTGAAAGATGTGATATATCTGTTTTGTTGCCCATTCATTTTCTACTTGCAAAGGATAGAAATGGGAAAAGACATCTTCTGCGCAAATCCAGCTGTTAGCAATATTTATCAACCTAAGTCAAAGTAGTCCCAGCTCTCCTTTGGCAGCTTCATGCTTCTGATGCCCATCAGTTAAAGGCCAGTGTCATCAATTCGACACCATCTGCAGATTCAGAAAACTGGTGCCCTCAAACAGATTGGATTAGTCTTTCACTGCAATATGCTTTCCATTTTCAAAACCTCAGCTGAGGGCTTTTATCTTGGTGAGATGAATTAAGTTTTCCAGACAAGGAAAATAGTATTCCATTATAATTTGACTCTTTATTACTACAGGGCTTTAAAGATACCAGTCAAAGAGATTCCCTGGACCTTTAACATATGACCAGAATGTTCTAGAATATTTCAGCATAAAGGTTGCCTAAGTTTTTCATTAAAAAAGATGAAGACAATGCTCTCGAGGAGCCCTGCATGCAGTTGTTGAAGATCTGAAAATTAGATAGTAGAATTTGTCCAGTGATCTTCCTATCACCTGAGAATCTGTTTGGTTTCACTTGCATGAAGTATATCAGCCAAATCCCTGCTGAGAAGCAGTTTATTTCTTATTATGCTCTAATTCCCATTATTATGTGGAGGTAACCATTCCCTCAGACACTCCCACTGGATTTTGGCTATGATATAGATTTCTGGAATTCTTCTCTTCTTTAGGGGTAACTTTCTGGCTCAGCTCACAGAGCACTCTGTAACACTCAGTGAACCCAAAGGACTTTAATGATGTTTAATAAGATGGCAGATTTTATTAAGTCTGTAAAAAGATCTGTACACCAGCCTCTGAAAAGTACAGTTTACCATCAAGCTCCATGTTAGGCCCTAGAGGCCTTGTGGCACAAGGTGTTGGCTGATGACCCAGGATGATGCTCCTTGAGTGAGTATAGGAGCCCAGTGAGTTGCCTCATTCTGTGTGCTACTTAGGCTTCACTTTGGGACACAGTGGCTCCCTGCCATAGTGTCCCATCATACTCTGGACCTTGCTCAACTTTTTTCCTCCCAACCAAAGTTCACCTGCCTCATTGTTTCAAGGCTTTGCTATGTGACTGACTGGCTAATACGATGAACTAACATAAAATAAGAAGGCATCAATGGCTGATAATGGATTAATGCATCCCTCTTCCCAGATAATATCTGCATTATAATAGGGACCTTCAATGCCTTAACAAGTAAGTAGTAATGGGTGAGTCATTTAGCCTCTTGTGCCTCAGTTTCTTTATATATAAAAAAATCAGAGGGTTAGAGTAGATAACCCCTAAGCTCCCTTGCAACTCAACATCCTGAGATTTAATGAATGAATGAATGATCTCCAAGCTCCCTTCCAGTTCTAACACTCTATGATTTTATGGAAATTTCCAGCCTTAGTGCATGACCAGAGTAGACACCGGAGATATGGTCATGCAGTGGTGGCTACAAGCTATGACCAAGAGACACAGTGAAATAGTCTTTAAAGTAAAGATTTTATAACAAACACATAATGAAGAATTCACAGCTATTTACTCTTTACCTTTCTTTTGTTACAAAGAGAAGTGATAGCTCCACAGAAAAACACTAACTCCATACACAAACCAAGGAAGAACCAGTTCTAGTTGCTAATGTTAAATTTCTCCAAATATTTTTGGTCTTCAATAACTTGGGTTCAAAAAATCAACTGCATAACCATATGCCAAAAATAAAATATGAGAGTTTGGAAAGTAGTTCATGTGAAAAAAAAAAACCCAAAACCAAACAAAACTCAGGGATGGCAGGTTCTAAATGACTTGACTTGTTGACTTGATTCTAAAAGAATCAGCAACGTGATAAGGTAGCCAAAGGAGCTAATATTTTCTTAGTCCTTATGAGCAGAAATGCAGTGTCTATAGTGTCCATACGGTACATAGCGCTGTACTCTGTCTTGACTAGACCAAATCTGGAATACTGTGTCTGGGTCTAGGCATGACATTTTAGGGTTGACCAGGAAAGTGAGGAGACTCAAAAGACATGCCATCCTATGATCAGATAAAGAATCTAGGTCCTGAAGAAGCGAAAACTGGGTTGGGGGTGAGTTGCCTGTCTTCAAATATCTGAATGGCCATCATATGAAAGAAGAGTTTGGTTTGTTTGGCTTTGCCCTCTTGGGCAAAGGCAGGGACAACAGAAGGAAGTTAGAGGGAGGTAGATTTCACCTCAATATAAAGAATAAGATTTCATCATAGCTGTCTAAAAACAGAATGCTCTGATCCACAGGAGAAGTGAGTCTCCCATCACTGGTGGTTCTTAAGCGGGGGCTGAATGACTGACATGTTGAGAATATTGTGCACAGGATTCATGATTTCGGGGTGAAGGTTGGGCTAAACAACCTCTATGGTCCCTTCCAACTCTAAAATCCTATGGCTATAAAAGCTGGAATAGATTTTTCCTCTTAGGATTGACCTTGGGTAAAACTATGAAATAAATGGAGTTTATCATTGATGACCTTATTTGTTACCCTTCTTTCACAATCCTTTCTTTCTTTTGACAGCTCCTTTCTCTCTTTGGCTTTATAGTCAGAAAAGACTTTGGAGGTCTCCTAGCCCAAGCCCCTCAAAACTGAGGATTAAGGATCTCTGACTTAATTTTCCAATGGCCAGGTAGCAACCCATGCTCTGGACCTTGCTCAGCCCATTTCCTCCCAACCAAAGTTTACCTATCTCATTCTCTCCAAGCCTTGTGAAGTGACTGACTGGCTAATATGAGAAGGCATTAATGCCTGATAACAGATTAATGCATCCCTTTTCCCAGATAACATCTGCATTACAACAGGGGCCTTCAATGCGTTAACAAATAAATAACACCACTGACTAGCCATATAACCTTGATCACCAAGCCTCTTAGACCTCAGTTTCTTTATGTACAAAAGAAACCAAAGTGGTAGAGTAGATGATCACTATGCTCTCTTGCAACTCTAAATCCTATGATTTAATGAATGAATGAATGACCCCTAGATCCCTTCCACTTCTAACATTCTATGATTTCATAGGAATTTCCAGCCCTAGGACATGACCAGAAGACAAGATGATTTGAAACAACAGTCATTGCAGTCACACCACATTAGTCTACCTTTGGGGAAAGGGCCTGGTTCCATCCTGGAATGGAAAGTACCACTAATGCCAAAAGGGCCTGTAAGATTTTGAGAGGCCTACGAATCCATCCCTTCCCACTGCTGCTTACCTGTTGGTAATTATAGACGTCATAAACCCCAGGAGGGATCGGCACACAGGCACTGGCAAAGATCCGTTTACTTCCAGACTTGGTACTATAGAGCTGGGCCACTTCAGGCTCTGAGCCTAGAATAGGCACATCTAACATGTCGGCCACAGCTAAATCATCTTTGTGGATGAGCCCGCCAACAATGTACGCTTCCTTTCCTTGGATGAGGTTTTTTATTCTTTTGATTGTCTGGGGACTGTACTTGAGATGAGTGGCCAGGCACATACGATGTCCCTGTGGAAAGATAACATTACTCTTGTTAAAAGGTGTTCTTTCCCATTCCATGCCCCTAATTTATAATGTTGCACACAATAAATACATTATTAATAGCAGGCTGGGTTATGACCTATCCTGTAGTTTAGCAGTTTAAATTGATAAAAGCTGTTGGGGTGAGGTTCCATAATCGTTCACATCTTTAGTGTGTTGGGAATGGGCTCACTGGGAATAGAACTAATTACTACACATCTGTATTTATTTGATCCACGTGGAATTATCCTTCTGTCAGTCGGAAAAGAGGCTGGCGGCCTTTGGATAATAGTGATTCATCTCAGCAACACTTCTGGCATGGTTTAACACTAAAGTGCCTGGAAAATCAATACAAAAAAATGAAGAAAAAAGCCCGATAGGAGAGAATATATCTCACCATACTGTGTACAAAAGGCAGCACTCTTGAAATGGTTTTTCAGAAAGAAGGCACGTGGCGTATCCCCTTCCCCTCCCCCCCATCCACTAGACAGCCCAATTTCATAGCATATGCTTTTTTGCTATAGTTATCATGGACCAAGCCCATTTCTCTGCAAATGATTTGAGGAGGGAAAACAATCTGTATTTTCCAACAAGCATCAAATTCATTTTCAAATGGAAAACTCCTTTTCATATTTGTTTTTGACAATGAGACATATGAATTTAGGGATTTATATGACTGCCTCATCTCATAAAATCCCAGGTAACTATATTTCATATCCCCTAGAGCAGGGGCTCTTAACTGGTGTCCATGGCTGACTTCTTAAGAGGACCAGGGATAGATTTCAGGGGGTCTATGAACTTAGAGGGGAAAATTTACAACTTCATTTATACCCACACCCCCCCAATAATCTCTAACTAGAATTTAGCATTTCCTTCAATTATTTAAAAACATTAATTCTGAGTAGAGGTCCAAAGGCTTCACTAGATTGCCAGAGGGGTCCCTGACTATCTTCGTAGTGGGTGAGAGAAAGGAAAGAGCATTTATATAGTGCCTACTATTTGCCAGGCACTGTGCTAAGTGTTTTACAGATGTTATCTTATTTGATCCTCACAACAATCCTGGGAGGTGGATGCTATTATCTCCATTTTAGAGTTGAGGCACTTAATAGAGGTTAAGTGAATTGCCCAGGGTCACACTGCTAGTAAGTGTATAAGTCTGGATTTGAACTCGGGTCTTTCTGATTCCAGGCCTAGATCCAGCCCATACCCTGTACCTGCCTCACTAGAAAAAAGAAAATGCAAAGGTATAGTGAGTAATGCCATTTTGAGATCACCAACTATGTATCATTTTTAACATCTTTAAAAAGTACTTTGATAATTTATCCTTAACTACCTTACTGAAAATTAACTAAACTGCTATTTTAAAATGTCACGTGAATAACAATACATAGAATCCATGGAATCTTGGAATCATACAAATACTATGATATATAGAATCATGGAATCCTAAAGCTAGAAGGGGTCTCATAGGACCTCCACTGGGATAGCAGCCTGGTATGTAGATGGATTCAGATTCTGAGGACCTGAGTTTGAATCTTTTCTCTTCCACTTAACCACTTGTATGACCTTGGGCAAGTCATTTAACCTCTTAGAACCTCATTTTACTCATATTTAGATGACAGATTTGGACTAGATGATCTCTTAGATCACTTTCAGGCTTGAGTTGATGGATGACTCTATGATCAAGAAGTTACACAGTCCAATAGCTTATCTTTCAACCATCTTGTTGAGACATTTGTCTATTCCATTTCTAACCCAATCCTAGGAAGCATATCAGTAAGCAGCTACAATAGATAAGGAACTGTGCTAGGCTTTGGAGATATAAGGACAAAGCAACAAAAAAAAGTCCTTTTCATAGCTCTGTAAAGGACCTTGGAGATCATCTGTTCTGGACTCTTAATTATACAAATGAGAAACTTTAGGCCTAGAGTGGTAAAAGACTCATTCAAGTTCATAAAGCCAGTCCAGGACAGAGTCAAGACTAGAATCTTGATCTCTTGACCACCAATGGAGTTCTCATTCCATTATCCCACCCTCACCTCCTAGAGAAAGAAAATGTGAAGAAATGGAGAGTAATGACATTTGGGGATGACCATCCATGTGCCATTTTGTAAAATGGGGATAGGATCAGCACCTTCCTTCTAAGGTTGTTATGAGGATGTTGTTCAGTTGTTTCAGTCATGTCTGATTCTTTGTGACCTCAATGGATTTTTCTTGGCAAAAATACTGGAATGGTTTGCTATTTCTATCTCCAGCTCATTTTACAGATGAGAAAACTGAGGCAAACAGGATTAAGTTGCTTGCCCAAGGTCACATGGCTAGTAAGTGTCTGAGGCTGGATTTGAACTCAGGTCTTCTTGACTCCAGTCAAGAAGTGCTCTATCCACTGTTCCACTATCCACTGCCTGTTATAAGTATGACATGAAATAATATTTGTAAAGGACTTTGCAAACCTTAAAGCACTTATATAAATGCTAAGTTTAAAAAAACTGTGTATCTGAGAAAACAGTCTTAAGAAACCCTTTTGGTTTACTACTATTGGTTTTTTCTTTCTTTTATTTCCTCAACAGTGGGGGTGGGGAGGAGAAAGGGGTAGGAGAGAGAGAAAATCATTTTTTGTTAATTGAAAATAAAATTTAATTTTAAAAAATGAAATCTTATTGTTCCACTTGATGATGTCTGTAATGAACTAAATGCTACTTCTGGATAATTTTGGATTTTTAATCTGATTGACTATATTTTAAGCCTTCCCATTGTATGGGTTGCTTCCCCTCCTTTACAATCTATTGTAATGAGGCAGAGCACAAGAATCCAAGACTACTGGAGACCCATGGTTTGTAGATACAGACACTTGGCTTCTCCAGGATGCTCACAGAAATATTCCAAATGTAGCAGTTTGCTAGTACTATTTTAGCTTTGTAAAATCCTCATTCTCTGCATGTTATCAGTAGAGAAATTGAAAGTCTAGAGCAGTGATCTCAAACTCAAATAGAAATGAGGCCACCAAACTATATATAAGGATCCCTGCTGGCCACACATTAACTTAGAAAAACACATATTACTATTATCTATGTTTTATTGTATTTTTATTTATTTTGTTAAATATTTTGCAATTACATTTTAATTTGTTTTGGGCTGCTCTTGGGAGTTTTGTGGGCTGCATGTGTCCCATGGGCCGTGTGTTAGATACTTCTAGTCTAGAGTATTTGAGGGAGATGATCCAATAACTGACAAAAGCAAGAACAGAATTCAATGTGGAATTTTTTTCCCTTTAAAATTCCGTGTTTTATGCATCCCAAACTACCTTTTTATATGGAAATCATCTCATTTTTTTTCTGGATCTCCTGAGCACTTTGTCTTTCTCCTGTGGTACTTTATACACTCCAGCTGGAATTATGTTTATTTATGGACATAACTTACATTTTCTCACTAGATAATAAGTTGTTTAAGGGTAGGAATCTTATGTATTTATCCACTTACCTATCCTATAATGGGGCAGCTAGATGGTGCAGTGGATAGAGCACTGGGTCTGAAATCAGGAAGACATTCCTGATTTCAAATCTGGCCTCAGACGCTTACTAGCTGTGTGATCCTGGGCAAGTCACTTAACCCTATTTGCCTCAGTTTCTTCATCTGTAAAATGAGCTGCAGAAGGAAATGGCAAACTACTGCAGTAGCTCTGCCAAGAAAACCCCAAACAGGGACATGAAGAATTGGACGTGCCTGAAAAAAGACTGAACAAAGAAAAAAAATCCCATAATACCTAGCACAGTGCTACATACAGTAGATACTCAATAAATGCTTATTGAATGAATGAAGAGTAGAGTATATTGACTCGATCCCTGGACCTCTGTCAGGGAAATAACTGGGAAATGGGGAATGTAGGTTATTGCCAAAAGGTCTTATCTGGAAATTTAGAGACAAATTGTGCTCTCAGATCTATTCAATGGACTAATATGAATATCCAAAACCTAAAATACCTTTAGTCAATTGCGTCAGCATTAGAGTGGCATACAAAATGTTCATCACTGATTTTTTTTGACAAGTCAGGTACAATGTAATAAGTTATCTATTACTTCCTTAAAACATTAATAGCTCAAAAATATTGACATGTGACATCATGACAGCACATTTTGCCAATACAGATTCAAACTTTGTGCTACTACTTGGGCAAGTTCAGAAAAACATTTTGGTATTTTTTCCCCCTTTAATGGTTTATCTTTTTTTTTTAATAGTATTTTATTTTGGCATTTTTTTTTAAAAAGGGCTCCTCAAGCTATTGAAAATCAGCATTGTCACAATCGCATGTCTCTATTTAGAAGGTTAAAAACAATAACTAAACACAAACAGGAAATGATCTCTAAAAAAAAAGATCAGTTGCATGTAAACAGATTAATTCCTCAAATAATCTAAATTAGAGTAGGAATAGGGAAAGGGGCTGGAACTGTGATTTCCTCAGTAGTGAGGAAACTTGATCTACTGATACAAGTTAGCATCTTCCCTGTAACTTAGAGTTTTAGACAGCCGCCTAGAATACTTGGAGGTTAAATGACTTGCCCAGGGTCACATAGCCAGTATGTGTCAGAGCGGGATTTGAATCCAGGTGTTCTTGACTTCGATGAGAGCTCTCTATCTATTATGCCATGTCATGAAAGGTCAAATATTTATAACAAATGATCATCTGCAACATTTCCATTCAAAAAGATGCAGATGCAAAATATAAGTACAATATGAGTACAATTTAGTTGTACCAGTGAGCACCACTGAGGTACATCAAAGCGTCCATTACTCAAGCCCACTAGCTGTGCAGAGGTCAAAGATAAGGCTTACAGCATAAAATTCCTTAGGCGGAACATAGAATCAAACAGTTAGAGCTAAAATGGACTTTGTGAAATTGCCCACAATGGTCACTAGATATTTATAAATGAAGAATGAGGTTCCTTTCAGTGAAGTGACTAACCCATGGTAACTCAGGGAATTAATGGCAGAACTAAAGCCGGAACCTAGGTTCGATTCAATTCAATAAGCATTTATCAAGCACCTACTATGTGCTAGGCACTGTGCTGGGAATATAAAGATAAAACAGTTCCTACTCTCAATGAGCTTCCATTCTGTCAAGGGGAATAATATACACAAAATATACACAAAAAGATTTTCAGAGAGGGCATCCATTGAAACTTCAGGGTAGTTTGTGAATAACAATAGTTCTGGAGGAAGGGTAGGGAAGAGTGGGAGATGTATATCAGAGAGATATGGATGTGTGTGAGGAGCTTGGGAGTAGCGGTCAGCAGCAGGAGCTTTGGCTTAGGCAGCCTACAATTCAGAATCACAGGGATTCTAAATGTAGTCACAGGGCAGTACATTATCCTTTCCTTCACATGTAGCAAAGGAAATTTTGGTTTGGTTACCAGTCCCTGAGAAAGAGTTGGAAGGAGGTGAAGATGGGTGTGGGAAGAGTCTTCTGATTCTTGGCCAATGATTTTCTTCCATCACACCTTACTCTGTATTTACAATCGGGGGAAAGGGGAGGATTCATAAAGACACTGAACCTGTGATTTAATTGACATAAGGAACTACTGCTATGGAAACACCTTCTAATGATGTAGAATGGAAATTCACCTGCAATTTACTGTCTTCTAAGACAGTTTCCTGGGGCCACTGAGGAATTAGGTGACTTGCCTTTACTCTCATAGTTAGTATGCTCAGAAGTAGGTCTTGAACCTATGTCATTGAACTCTAAATCTAGCCTTCTTTCTGTTGTACTTCGACGAATAGGTACTCCAGTCCAGTCTTCTTTCAGAAGGCTTCATACCAATGCCATGTTTCACCATAGCATTGCCACAGACCTCCATTACTGCCTAGAACTTTGATGCTACCAACAAAGAAGCTGATCCAATACTCCCTCCTTCTTTTTCCATTAGCCTTCCATTATCGTCAAGTGGTCAAGGTGGTGGGAACCACTACTCACATCAGGGCTCCTACCATAACATCTTCTCATCCCCTTTTCATCATCCCTAACAATTCCTTTCTCCCAAGTAGAGTATGAGCTTCTTGAGGGCAGGAACTGTATAATTTTTAATCATTGTATCTTTCAGCACTCAGCATGGTACCTGGAACATAGTAGGCACTCAATAAATATTTGTTGTATTTGATTTATTAAATTGAATTAATTGAACTACTAGAAATAGGCATTGAAGCATTAATGAGTATAACTCTCTCCCTAACTCAGTACTCAGGTAACTCCCAAATTCCCACCATAACTAAACATTTGGAAAAATAGATTTAACCAGAGTGCTCATGACTTCTAATAGTAGTCCTTTGATAGTTAGCCCTGGTTTGAAGTTAAAATCATGAAAAAAAATTAATGATTAAAATGGGGACATGATTAAGAAAGATAAGCCTAGAACATAGGTTAATACTAATAATTAATTTTAATAGGAGGGTAAGATACTTGTTAAACCATTATCTTCTCTTTTCTTTTTTTGGAGGCAGTCAAGGTTAAGTGACTTGCCTTGACCTCGTTCTTACCTTCTCCCTTTCCCCACCACTCCTATCTCCTGCCCAGATCAAGACAGAGAATTTTGTGGGATGTTAGATATCTGCTCTCCATAGGGGCCTGATTCTGAAAGGTGCATGCATCTTGTTAGAATGCTAATGAAAGTCTACTGATCACAATGCATACTAATCACATCCTGCTCAGTCCCTTCCTCAATCCCTGCCTTTTTGGCAAAGTCCTAAAGCAGGAATGACATGTCTGAAAAGGAAATGGATTTATTTTATTCCAAAGTATTTGGTGATTCCTCTACAGTATATGGGGGGGAAAATGATTCCACTAATAGATATAATGTCAGCTTTGGTGGATTAGATTTGCAGAAGTAAGTGACTTTATGGGAATGAGAACTACCATTAGGAAAGAAATTCAAGATCTTTAAAGAAAAAAAAGCTTTATAAAAATTTATACAATTCCCACTGGACTTATCATCTGATGATCTAGACTCATGCCCCAGCTCAAACACTTAGTGCCAGTGTGTCCCTGAAAAACCCAGTTAATCTCTCTGAGCCTCAATTTTCTTATATGTAAAATGGAGATAATAATGTTTACACTACTCTACCCTCACAGGGTTATTGTGTAGAAAACATTTTGTAAACTTTAAGGCACTTTAGACCTACAAGCTAATATTGTCATTATTCCTTTTACATGGAAAATTTTGGGGGGGAGTATTTGGAAAATAGAATCTTGAGAAATTTCCTAACTGTCAGAGTACTCTCAAAACCGATCTTCCTTATGCCAGCTAGGTGGCACAGTGGGTAGAGTACCAGACCCGGAGTCAGGAACACTTGAACTCAGAAAAAGACTTTGAACTCTGTGTGGTCCTGGGAAAGTCATTTAATCACTGTCTGCCACAGTTTTTTTCATCTGTAAAATGGGGATAATAAATAGCACCTACCTGATAGAACTGTTTCAAGTATCAAATGAAATAACCTTTGTAAAGTACTTTGTAAACCTTAAAGTGCTATAAAATTTCTAGGTATCATAATCATCATAGCTCCTGCCTGCTTTTCAGAGGCTTTTTTTCAATATCACTCTAACTTGATCCAGACAGATTTAAAACAACTTTTTAGGAATCATAAATTATAAAAAAATCTAAATATTTACTTGGGCAGGTAGGTGGCACAGCAGATAAAGTGCTGGGCCTGGAGTCAGGAAGACCCACCATCCTGAGCTCAAATCTGTCTCAGACACTTACTAGCTGTGTGATCCTAGCAAAGCACTTAACCCTGTTTGCCTCAGTTTCCTTATCTGTAAATGGAGCTAGAGGAGCAAATGGCAAACCACTCCAGTATCTTTGCCAAGAAAACCCCAAATGATGTTATGAAGTCAGATATAATGGAAATGACTGAACAGCAACAACAAAATGTTCATCATTCTAAATAAGAATATGATTTATCAGGCTAAGTCCCACTGAAAAAGTTCACCCCTGGTGAAGTCCAAAGAGCACTGAACTGGGGTTTAGAAGCCTGGGATTTTAGACCAAATGGCACCATTGTGTGAACCTACTTGTGCCTTGATTTCACCAACTGTAAAATGAGGGAGGTGGATGAGGTTCCTGCTAACTCTAAATTTCCAATGATTTTAAGTGGCTCTTGCTTTTGATTGATGTTCCTGCCCTGTTCTTATAAATCTATCTATCTGATAATCCAGTTGTCAAAAGTGGGCGATGGGCTACAGATAGCCTGGGCTGGGTTACTTCAACTCAGTCTATAAAGCTAAACTGGGATATTTATTTCTCAGACACTAACTAGCAGTCTAATCAGTAAAGCTGTTAAACTTGCAATAATATTTCACTGATGTGTACCCAAGCGTTACAAGTTATAAAATTTCCAATTTAATTTTACTGCATCCCTGAAGCTGTAGTAATTAGAAGACAAACTCACAGGGAAGAAGTTTATAGCTTCAGGGGAGAGAATTCTGAACCTGTCCTTCAGGTCACTCATGTCCTCAGGGTTTCCAGTTATGACAGCTGACTGTAGACCCAGGAACTTATTATAATATTTCACTAATTCGTCAGGCAGTTGAAGTGGGGAGACATAGATGACTTCCACATTGGCATCTAAAAACAATGGGTATAGCGTTAATTATTGGGAAAAAAGGTTAACAACGTTCCGAACCCTGGCATCTGACTGTCTCAAAGTAGTTTAAAATAAAGAACACTTCCGAAAGCTATGCAGAAGTTAATTTAGATTGGTTTCCCTTAACTCTTACCAATTTAACACACTTTCAGCTGTCTTAATATTTCTCTGACTATGCATTGAATAATAATAAAAATAAAGTAAAAATGGTTATTTTTGCAGGAGGAGGGATGTAAAGGACCATACAGCTATATGTTCCAATAACATTCAGGGATTTTGTTTTCCAAGTCCCAGACACATCAATGAGAATTACACATTACTTTAAGAATGTAACCCATTAACTTCAGTATATTATAAAACTGAGCTGTTAACTTTGGAAAGCTGATGAAACGGTAATTTCTTTTCTTTGTCTGGACTCAACAGGATCAATCCACATCAATGTCCTTTCCAAATAAATAGATTAACAGTTGGATGATTCCAGTAACAGTGATTATTCCAAAAATTCAATCATCTCCCTGCTTTATACCCTCCAATGGGGCATATGACTTAAATGGCACAGCTAATGATTCTTGGTTTATAAGATACTTTGCCTTAATTTGAATAATCTCATATTTTCCCCTACCAACTTGGTTAAAATTTGCATGTTGTGAGATACTTGGTACGGAAAGAGAAATGATAATTAAACATTCTATCCAACATGGTGTTGAAAACTCTTTGAGATTTCTCACTGCATGCTACAGCTGTCTTTAAGCAAGGCAGTAATAGCTGTGAATAGGCTAACCACGTAATTATCAGTCAATGGAGTTAGAATATTTTCTCAGTAAAAACTGGATCAAAGAAGGAAGTGGACACCCTGAGATGTATTGGCCAACTGAAAGCCCCATATGTTGTGTGAACTACCCCCTGACTATTCCAGCCTTCACTGATCTCCCTCTCTCCTCTGAACTTCTGTGTATATATGCATATATGTGTGTTTACCTATACACATGTATGTTTACCTATACACATATACATAAACATTTATATATATATGCATATATGCATGTATATCCACACATACATACACACACACCAGTTCTTTCTGTTGTGTTAATTTAATCTTCCAACAATAACACAAACTCCTTGTGAGCAAGCCTTATGTTTTTATATGTCTTCTTAATCCCCACAATGCCCAGCACAAGGCTAGGCATAGGTGCTTAAAAATATTTGTTGGTTCATTAAAGCTAGGGAGAGTGGAGGAAAGTTGAAAAATAGAAAGTCTTCCATGTTTAAAAGGATACTCATTGAGAAATCTTGTACTATTCTAGAACAAGATTTTTGTATCAAGATCATAAGAAATTGGGAGAGACTAAATAAGTTATGTAGGTTTAATGGTTTAATGACCAGCCTAGGAACTTTGTGTTCTATGTTTTCATGGACAGTACTATCTTACCAATGGCACTGGCAATGGCAAGCTAATGTGCCATAATGTTCTGAAAGCCCTCAAACACAAAAGAACAAGAAGCAATTAAAAATGCAGGAGAAATTCAAAGGGAAAAAAAACTTATGTGAATACATGAACTGTTGTTTTTTTTATTTTTAATAAAGGAATTTCCAGAATAAAACTCATGTGGGTGATTTTCACTTTTTTCCTTTTCTTCTAGAAAAGCAATTGAAGTTACACACTTACACGGAATCCATTCAGGCTGACCATAAAGCTATAAATGTTCAAAATTCATTGCCAGGTAATTTTGGAAAGTAATTAAGATGGAGATAATAGTTTCTTTGTTAGTCAATATTCAATATCACTTTCAGTTAGTCTCCCACTTATTAACCCTTCCCGCCAATTGAAAGCATTAACTATCTCGCTTTCTAATAGACATCAGCTGACCTCCACCAGTCAGTATTGGCATGACAGGTATTACCTATATTTACAGAATTCTCTTAGTGCCCTTCTTGACCCCACCCAACCCAAATAAGCTAAAAGATAGATGTTTTCATATTGAGGAGTCATGAAGAAAGTGATCTTTTCCAGATTTTCTAATGTTTTTTTTCCCCACCGTATTTTATATGAACAAGTACTTTTTCTTTTGATCTATTCTCTCTGAACATCTATGCATTCTTCCTGAAGGTGATGAATAGTAGAAATGCCATGTCAGGGTGATAGTCTAACAAGAAAAGGCTTCAATCAACTCTGTATACTCCCAGAGGTTACTCATAGCTAGAATAAGCTCCATGGCAGTCAAGGTCTCCAGTTGAACTACTTGAGATGGAAGCCAACATCCCCTTTACATAATTTCTGTGTGAAGAAAATCCTTTGTAAAAAGTTCTGTAGTAGGGGCTGCTAGGTGGCACAGTGGGATAGAGCATCTGCCCTGGAGTCAGGAGGACCTGAGTTCAAATCTGGCCTCAGATGCATAACACTCGCTAGCTGTGTGACTCTGGGTAAGTCATTTAACCCCAATTGCCTAAACCCCCCCCAAAAAATAAAAGTTCTGTAGTAGTGATTCAGTCTGTGTTGAAAGGTGGGGCAGCTAAGTGGTGCAGTGGGTAGAGCACCTGGCCTGGAGTCAGGAGGATCTTCCTGACTTCAAATCTGGCCTCAGACACTTACTAGCTGTGTGACTCTGGACAAGTCACTTAACCCTGTTTGACTCAGTTTCCTTATCGGTAAAATGAGCTGGAGAAGGAAATGTCAAACCACTCCAGCATCTTTGCCTAGAAAACTCCAAATGAGGTCATGAAGAGTCAGACATGACCGAACAGCAACAACAACATGAGAGGTACAGGAAAGGTTAATACTTGGGCTTCATGGGCTATAACTGGCCATTTAAAAAATCAAACAAATTAAACCAAAATCTATGCTGTATTACATTTGAGTAGTTTCCACTTAGTCAGATTTTTAGTTCCAATAGCTCAGAACTAACAAATCAATCTTAAGGTCTTTAAAATTCTGTATTGCAGCAAAGCAATATTAGTGCCTAGATAATAGATTAAAGCAATTATACTATTATTTTAGGACACTGTAAATTTCCAGAACTGATATATTTTTGTAACCAAATGGCATTTATGAAATAATAATGATGCTGAAATATATATGAATCATGTAAAGTATGTCATTCCAGGGAGCCGGCTAAGTTGGTCATTGATAAATTAAAATTCTTCATTATTTTGCTTAAAGAAGGACTTGGGAGGAACTATCTCACTAACAAAACTAAGGCATTCTTACTTGATAGCAAGCAAAGACTAGATATGCTGCATTTTTTTCTTTTCAAGGAGTTTTCTGCCTAGGTCCAGAAATTTTACGCAGTGTTCCTACCTGACACTTCGTACCTCCTATCCTTCATACCTAACTCATAACCCTGGGCTTTAGAAGGCATCACCCAAAGCTACTTCTCTCCAGTAAGTACAGGCATCTTTTTCACCTTTCCCTCGAAAATTGCTTATCTCTTTTCTTCCAAACTGTCCAGTAGAAAGAATGCAATGACCCAAAAAAGGTTTTGAACCTCTGGTTTTACAGACTCATTGTTCAAGCTGAGATTTGCGTTGTTAAGCAATTCATGCTTAGACCCTCTTTCTTACCTACTAATAATTGAAAGGTGTTTCTTTTTTTTTTTAATCTGACCCATCTTATTTAACTGGTTATTTTGCAGAGGGAGTCACAGTGCTATATTGTAGTACATTACATTAATCTCCAGGGTAATAGACTGCCATTGACACAAATAGAGAATTATGAGCTCATTGTAAGATTCAGAAGAAGAAAAAGCTCCTGGACTAGAGAGAAATGTTCCTTTAAATCCGGATGAAAGTTAATTTAAAGAACAAGCAATTGACTGTGGAATTTGTTTTTGTTTATTTTTGGTTAAAAAATTTTTATTGGAGTTAAGTTTACCATGAAACCTTCATCTTAAAAATAAAATATGCAATTTTTCTTTAAATTGAAAAATCCTGTTCATTTACAGATATATCTGTTAGAATTAGAATTAATTCTTATACTGCATTTTAAATTTGCAAAATACTGCACAAACGTTCACTAATTCATCCAAATGGACAATTTAGAAAGTTTGTATTTATGTGAAAGCATTTACTGTACCTAGTATGTCACACAGTCTTCCCAGCTGCAAGTTCTGTTGCATATGAAAATCAATGGCACTTTCTCGAACAGATTTGGCAAATCCTAAAAAATCACAAAGAAAGTGTAAAAATCTGGGAAGAGGTAGAGGCCAAAGCATTTACAAAAATTGCAAGAAATTCGTTGAGTCACAATACATGTTTCCAGGAAAATTATTTGATTTTATGTGAGACATCTTACAGAAATGATACAACCCGAAGAATGAAGTCCATGCCCCTTGGAAAATGAAACATTTTGAAATACGTACCAAGGGACTGATTCTGTAAACAGAAAAGTTCGCCCTTTTTTTTTGGTCTTTGTTTTTTAAATAATAGTAATAAAGCTGCCAGGATCCAGGGTCATGAAAACATAGAGAAAATTTCTGACACTTGTCTGAATGTTTAAAATAAGATGTGGTATGCATAGACTGAGATTTCAAAAACTGGATCACTGGGCTTTGAAAAACATGTATCTCTTCTATCGTTGCATTTTGAAAACCTTTCCTAGATTCATACTGAACTGACAGCCAGATTTCAGGTAAACCTCTTGCTGACAGGTACGTGGATTTACTAATACTAAGCAATAAAGAAATATGCTTTTGGACTTAGCTAGAAAAACTCCCAGCCTTTGAAAAGCAAAAAGGTGAAAACAGCTACTTTGTCAGTACTAAGGAAAAGCCCTCTGAGAATACTTCTGCTTTAGTTTTCAGTTCCTCCAGTTGGTGCTATTGGAAATAATACAGGAGTAAAAATCCTATGGGTCACAATGGTCCAACCCTTTACTGATACCAATAAAAATGGCAGAAATATTTTCTTCCTGCTTTTAGGTGATTCCAAGAACATGGATCAAAAAGCTAAATTAGAAGGCAAAAATACATGAGTAGGCAGAACTACTTCTGCATGTGAGTGATTCAACATTTGTGGGCACAACTTTTTATTATTAAACAGCTTTTCACATTTAGAAGAGACACTTCAATGCCTCCTTGTGGTTACTGAGTCCAAACACATGTCCCAAATTAAAATACTACAGATTAAGTGACTTAATATTACTAAATCTGTAAGGTGTTCCCAAGATTCTTTTTTTTAAATGTAAGGACACCTACAATTCCATTTTTAAACTTTTTCAGATAAAAATGACTATGGTCACTGGCTCCTTGCATTTATATCAGTGTTTAAGCACTAGACAGAATTTTGAAATTAAGTAAATTTATAGTTTGTTATTTTAATCTTTTGCTGCTATGCCTACAAATTTAAGAAATGAAAATGGCAGCAGGGAGTAAGAGAACAGACTGAACGGTTTATGAAAAAGTCTTACTTCTCAAATAATGTGGAAATACAAATGACGTGTAAAATTGGAAAGGCATATGCTAAAAAGAAAACCGTATTAAAGAGCTCCGAATTCTACCACCAGATATGTATGGATTACAGCAACGTAACTACTCGGACATGTCTCCAGGCTAAATCTCACAGAGTCACAGAATCTGAGATTTGGAATGGATCTCTGCGGCCAGCTACTCCGGTCTACACACCAAAAGAGCTCCCACTGTCACATGCCCAAAGAGTGGCCAACCAACACCTGCCTGTACACTTCAGAGGAAGATGAACCCACCACCTCTCGAGGGAACCCATTCCTCTTTCAGACAGCTCCAACTGGTAGAAAGTTTTTTCCTGACATGATGCCTACATTATGCTTTCTTCAATTTCTGCCTGCGGCTCCTGGTTTAGGCTTCTGGGGCCAAGTACACTGAATCTGATCCCTCTTCCACAAGAAAGTCCTTCAAATACTTGAAGACAGACATCATGGCTCCCAAGTCTTGTTTTCTGCAGGCTAAACACACCCAGTTGTTTCAACCAGTCCTGTTTTGTCATAAACTCAAGGCCCTTTGCCATCCTGATTGACCTTGTCTCTTCTGGATACTCTCCAGCTTATCAGTGTTCAAAAAGAGGTTTAGAACATTGGGTAAGCATCATGGCACAATGAAATGAACACCAACTCTGGAGCCAAGAGAGCCAGGTTCAATCCTACCTTTAACACTCACTAAGGCATCATAACCTGGAGCAAACCACTTCACCTCCCCTTGGGCCTCAGTTTCTTACCTAAAATGAGGAGGCTGAACTAAATGGCTTTTGGGGTTCCTTACAGTTCTAGATATTATGACTGTAGATGAGGAAAGATTGTGTGTACATGGAGGGGCGAGGAAGGAGATGCTGAAAGAACCAAGAATGTCTCAGAACATGTTTGAAAACATTCTTCAAATGCAATTTCTTTTAAAAATAAAGATAAAATCAGATTGTTTGCCATCTTGGAGAGAGGAAAGGAAGAGAGAAAAAAATTGGAACTCAAAATCTTATAAAAGTGAATGTTGAAAATTGTCTTTACGTGTAATGGGAAAAATAAAATACTATTTACATTTTTTAAAAAAAGAAAAAAGTTTTTAAAAAAGTCTCATTAAAAAGACATCAATTTATAATATAAAAGATGGCTGATCACTTTGTTGCCAAATGTGCATCTTATGACTGAATAAGTCTGTTTGGATTATGTAGTTGGTGGCTGGTTTTTCCAATAAAATGCATGCTAACCATGATAATGGTTTAAGGATATAGGTGGTATCATGCCTGCAATACATAATTCTCTCTGTGATAGACCTCATCACTCAATTATTAACCCCCCACAAACCCATGTCAGACACTAGCTATGTGACCTGGACAAATCACTTAACCCTCTTTGCCTCAGTTTCCTCATCTGTAAAATGAACTGGAGAAAGAAATAGGAAACCACTCCAGTATCTTTGCCAAGAAAACCCCAAATGGAGTCATGAAACATCCGTCACGACGTAAATGACTGAACGACAACGAAAAACAAACCCATGAATCAGATGGCTGCTTTCTAAGAACACAGATGCCCAGCACATAGTATGTGCTTATCAAATGTTCACTGATTGATTGGTTACTTGTCCTGACTCTTAAGTACACTCCACTGTACTTTCTATCACACAGTATTGGCCTTCTACAGACAGGCCCAGGAACAACAGATTGATCAAGCTTCCTTGGCGTTGGTGTTGGCGCTTTCACCTGCCTGGGTTACTCTCCTCCTCTTCGCACATTCTTTGGCTCCTGTCCACTTGCTTCAGGTTTTGAAAGGCCTCCCCTCCTCCTCTTGAGATATCTCTCTGGATCCCTTCTTGCCTACCTGTCTATTTCACTGCTGACTCCTGGACTCCTCTGTCTTCTTCTTGTTGTTGTATATGTCCTCAGAACTGTAACTTGGAATTTCTAAATCTGGGACGAGGGGTTGGGGAGATAGCAGGTGGCGTGGCAATGATGATACAGAGGACAAGCCCTATTGCAGCCTCACTGAGAGAGGAATGACCCACCTGTAGGAGACAATGGCCCTTGTCCCCTAGGCAGGATCCGAGGGAGGGGAGGCACAGAGACAGGACCCTCAAGATTGCAGCCTAAAGGCAGTAACTGTATGTGGTTCACTGAACAGAAGCATGCTCCCCTATGAAAGGAGCATACCTGCCCTGTTTTCTGCTCCTGTTTCTGTACTTCAGCAAGTGTGTCAAAAATGGACAAAAGTCACCCAAGAAGACAGGCATATTAACTACTCCAAGCCTCATAATGCCAATTGTGACCTACACAGTGCATAAGGGGACTTGATCATCACAGTATCTATTTTTATCTCTCCCTATAAAAAGATTTTTTAAAAAGTTTCTGTTATAAGCTTAATAATCATCAGCAAAGACAAGGCAAAGTATGCAAATAGGTAGTAAAATCTTACCTAAAACCCTTAGCATTTAACTAAATGAATGAACAATTAACAAAAAAGAAATGCATTTGAGTCAGGGGAAGATTTGGCAGTTCAAGTAGACTTTTGACCCCCAAAAACTTAGATACCTTTGGTGAAATGCTGCTGCCTGAGAGATCTCAGCACAAACCCGCAGTCTCTGCTTATGTGAGCTGATATAAATCTGTTTGAGGCAAAATACTTGGCATGGTCAGTAAATTGTGGATACTGTGATCTCCCTTGCCAGCATAAGTGATCCAAACACCAGAACTAAAAATGAGAATTTTAAAGTTCCCCTCCCCAAGTCCAAGGTCAAGTGAACATGGATCATCCTTCCTTTTCATAGGAATAAAGGAAGAAAAATTAAAGGATATCACCTGTATTTACATGCACTTAATGTTTAATTTCCTGGGGCAAGAGGTAGGAAAAAAAAGAGAGAGAGAGAAGGCTGTATTCCTTCTATCACCTCCCCTGCCTTTTTTTTGTAAATTTTTTTTTATTTTAAACTTAAATACAAAATGAGAAAACAAAAAAAATTGCCATGTGCACAGCGGACCATAAGAGTGGATTCAGTATAAAACAATAAATTTCCGTTTCAAAAAAACCTGTATAATAAATACTATAGTTTTCAAACCTGCCCAGTTTTTCTTTGCTTCCTTCCTGGTTTTCTTTTGTTCTCTGCTGTGCACTTTTTACTTTATTTATTCTCCTCCTTCCCCTACTCCCTAAAGAAGGCTACAAGTGAGTGTGAATATATATACATATACATAGATATCTATAAACACACATGTATGTACATATATTCACTCATACACACATATGTAAGACCGCATTGTACTTATTTCCACCTGTCATCTGTTTCTCTGAAGGTGGATAGCACCTTCCTTCCTAGGTCCAAGCCTTTTCATATTTTTCTAAATCAACCAGCTCATCATTTCCTACACCACAGCAATATTCCAACCCAATTACAGCCTATCTGAGAGACTGTCTATGAAAGTTTTCCCTCAATTCTCTTCATTCTTTCTGTTCTTGTCTACATGGGTTTTATTTATACAAGAAAATTTTAATTTAAAATAATTGAAATTGTCCCTTTTACAATGTAATAGTGCTTTCCCTTATAATATAGTTTAAGGTCTGATCCTGCTGAATCTACTTCCTTTTATATCTTTTTTCCTGGTTTCTTTGAAGCTCCTGACCCTTTTGCTCTTCCAAATGAATTTCGCTATTATTTTTTCTAACTCAGTAAAATAATTTTTTAGTAATTTAATTGGGATGACATT